AATCCAGGCTGGTAGATGCAGTAATATCCAATGCCTGACACCAGCCAAGCTAACCAACTGATCCTGAATAGTTTGAAGGATTTGTCCAGCTCTGTGTCCACTTCACTAGACCTAACCAGATATTTGGACCAGAGACTAATTAGATTGTTAATTAATAGAACTAAATTAAAGAAATTAGAAGGCCAGTATTGAAGAATAAGATAGCTTTGACCACCCAGCCCTTATGGTGGTGAGTCCCCATCTCCCCCGTGCCTATCCATGTGAGTGGGGAAGTAGAGAATCCATGAGGACCCAAAGGCCCAAAGATGGCAAATAAGAAAACAGATTAAATACTGTGGTGCAAAGATTAAACAATCAGCAGACCCCTACAGGAAGAACCTCTCCAACCCATTGTACCACTCAAAGATTTTAATTATGCACCTGGAGACACTGTGGTAATCAAACACCCCAGTTTGGGAATGCAAACCCGCGTACTGCACTCCTACAAGGGAAAAGGAGTCTGGACCACTGCAGACGTTGGGCTAACACCAATAACCATTACTGAGGCTTGGATTGTATCCAAGACCGGCAAACTTTTTGTTTTATTACAGGAAACTGAGGCAATGGCCCTGAACAGTGTTCCAGTGGGATGTATCCCTCCCAGCGCTGGTGTGGATCCGGGAAACCATCATGAACTTTTTGTATTTATACTGCTTGCTGTTGCAGCGCTTGCAATCGCTATTGCTGGTTATAGACTGAACTATGGAAAGAAACCTAAGCTGAAGCAAGACATGGTACTCCAACTCACCATAGTCTTCTTCTGGTCTGAGGTAAACAGGATGGGGTGCGTCTAGACTGGCAAGATTTTGCGCAAAAGCGAGTGCTTTTGTGCAAAAACTTGCCAGCTGTCTACACTGACCGCTTGAATTTGCACAAGAGCACTGACTTTGTAATGTACAAAATCAGTGCTTCTTGCGCAAATACTTTCACGCTCCGGCTCGGGAAAAAACCCTCTTGCACAAGAATACTTGCGCAAGAGGGCCAGTGTAGACAGGGAAGAACTGTTTTGTGCAAAAAAGTCCTGATGGCTAAAATGGTGATTGGGGCTTTCTTGAGCAAAATCGCGTCTAGTCGGGCCACGGATGCTTTTGCACAAAAGCACTTTTTGCACAAAAGCATCTGTGCCAATCTAGATGCTCTTTTGTGGAAATACTTTTAACGGAAAAAGTATTTCCTCAAAATCAAGCCAGTCTAGATGCAGCCGATGAAGTTTAATAAAGACAAATGCAAAGTGCTCCACTTAGGAAGGAACAATCCGTTTCACACGTACAGAATGGGAAGCGACTGTCTGGGAAGGAGTACGGCAGAAAGGGATCTAGAGGTTATAGTGGACTACAAGCTGAATATGAGTCAGTAGTGTGATGCTGTTGCAAAAAAAGTAAACATGATTCTGGGATGCATTAACAGGTGTGTTGTGAGCAAGACACGAGAAGTCATTCTTCCGCTCTACTCTGCGCTGGTTAGGCCTCAGTTGGAGTATTGTGTTCAGTTCTGGGCACCACATTTCAAGAAAGATGTGGAGAAATTGGAGAGGGTCCAGAAAAGAGCAACAAAAATGATTAAAGGTCTAGAGAACAGGTGCAGCCGGGAAACACAATTATAAACAGTCACACAGCAGCAAGTTTTACCCGGAGCTTAAGAGAGCTTCCGCCTCAGAAGCTTTGAGGGGAGTTGGGTTAAAATCAGAACCCATTGATTTCTGGGAGAGCTTCACCTTCAGCAAATGAAATCTCATGCCTAGATGTAGCTGTTATGCAATAACATTTTCAAATAACTTTACACATAATTTTCACTCAGCGAGCTCCCAAATCCACACTTTTTCCCAATGCCAAGGAGACTGCCATGGTTGGGAACTCAAAGGTTAAGGTCTCGTGGGAGTGGTTTGGCTGGTGAGGACAAAGTTAGCTCAGATAAACTTGAGCCTGGCTTGTCTCCAGACTCCAGTCCAATGTGCGTCTACAGGAAGAGAAACAAAACAGGAAGTAGGACTCACAGGAGGGGTGAAAGCTCTCTGGGAACGAGTCAGATTCCAGCAAAGCGAGAACTTAGCCTGCTTGCTCTAGTAGGTTTGTCCAGAGCCAGATGCTAAAGGCAAGAGCGAGAAGATGTTGGGGATCAGTGAGTTTTTAGTGGCTCTGGCAAAGCGAGAACTTAGCCTGCTTGCTCCAATAGGTTTGTCCAGAGCCAGATGTTAAAGGCAAGAGCGAGAAGATGTTCGGGATCAGTGAGTTTTTAGTGGCTCTAGTTGCATTTCTCTTGATTGTGCAGTTTCTGAAACTGCAATGGGCAGGGAGGCAGCTTCCCCCTGGACCAACTCCCCTCCCCTTCATTGGGAACTTGTGGTTGTTGGGATTTAAACTTCATCCTGAGACTCTGGAGAAGGTAATTATTGTTGTGTATTTAATTAACATCCTTCTCACATGCTCCCCAGGCAGCAACTGAGATCAGCAGAGGCATTTCAGACAGGGGACGCTGGTAGATCATTCTCTGATGGGCCCCAACCTTTGAGATGTGCTCCTTTCCTGGTCTGAAATCTGCCCCATTTTGCTGACTGACTGTTCGACTGGACTGTGCTTTCAGACGGTGTTCGCTCTGCTCAGTGAAGAGTGCAGCTGGTGATGGCTTTCTTGAGCAAAATCGCGTCTAGTCGGGCCACGGATGCTTTTGCACAAAAGCACTTTTTGCACAAAAGCATCTGTGCCAATCTAGATGCTCTTTTGTGGAAATACTTTTAACGGAAAAAGTATTTCCTCAAAATCAAGCCAGTCTAGATGCAGCCGATGAAGTTTAATAAAGACAAATGCAAAGTGCTCCACTTAGGAAGGAACAATCCGTTTCACACGTACAGAATGGGAAGCGACTGTCTGGGAAGGAGTACGGCAGAAAGGGATCTAGAGGTTATAGTGGACTACAAGCTGAATATGAGTCAGTAGTGTGATGCTGTTGCAAAAAAAGTAAACATGATTCTGGGATGCATTAACAGGTGTGTTGTGAGCAAGACACGAGAAGTCATTCTTCCGCTCTACTCTGCGCTGGTTAGGCCTCAGTTGGAGTATTGTGTTCAGTTCTGGGCACCACATTTCAAGAAAGATGTGGAGAAATTGGAGAGGGTCCAGAAAAGAGCAACAAAAATGATTAAAGGTCTAGAGAACAGGTGCAGCCGGGAAACACAATTATAAACAGTCACACAGCAGCAAGTTTTACCCGGAGCTTAAGAGAGCTTCCGCCTCAGAAGCTTTGAGGGGAGTTGGGTTAAAATCAGAACCCATTGATTTCTGGGAGAGCTTCACCTTCAGCAAATGAAATCTCATGCCTAGATGTAGCTGTTATGCAATAACATTTTCAAATAACTTTACACATAATTTTCACTCAGCGAGCTCCCAAATCCACACTTTTTCCCAATGCCAAGGAGACTGCCATGGTTGGGAACTCAAAGGTTAAGGTCTCGTGGGAGTGGTTTGGCTGGTGAGGACAAAGTTAGCTCAGATAAACTTGAGCCTGGCTTGTCTCCAGACTCCAGTCCAATGTGCGTCTACAGGAAGAGAAACAAAACAGGAAGTAGGACTCACAGGAGGGGTGAAAGCTCTCTGGAAACTAGTCAGATTCCAGCAAAGCGAGAACTTAGCCTGCTTGCTCCAATAGGTTTGTCCAGAGCCAGATGTTAAAGGCAAGAGCGAGAAGATGTTCGGGATCAGTGAGTTTTTAGTGGCTCTAGTTGCATTTCTCTTGATTGTGCAGTTTCTGAAACTGCAATGGGCAGGGAGGCAGCTTCCCCCTGGACCAACTCCCCTCCCCTTCATTGGGAACTTGTGGTTGTTGGGATTTAAACTTCATCCTGAGACTCTGGAGAAGGTAATTATTGTTATGTACTTAATTAACTTCCTTCTCACATGCTCCCCAGGCAGCAACTGAGATCAGCAGAGGCATTTCAGACAGGGGACGCTGGTAGATCATTCTCTGATGGGCCCCAACCTTTGAGATGTGCTCCTTTCCTGGTCTGAAATCTGCCCCATTTTGCTGACTGACTGTTCGACTGGACTGTGCTTTCAGACGGTGTTCGCTCTGCTCAGTGAAGAGTGCAGCTGGTGATGATGCAGGAGAGGAAATGTCTGTTGATTTGCAGATTTGTAATACTCCTTTTGTACTGTGTTTTTCATTTACATGACAGGCACTGGGATCCCCCTGATGGGTAGAGCCCTGTGCGGATACAAAACTTTGAATCGGCATCTGCATCTCTAGTCACAAAAATGAGCTGCGGATGTCAACATAAGAACGGCCATACTGGGTCAGACCAAAGGTCCATCTAGCTTAGTATCCTCTCTGCCGACAGTGGCCAATGCCCCAGAGGGAGGGAACACAACAGGTAAACATCATGTGAGCCCTCTGCATCCACCCATGGATATACTCATAACTTCAAAATTTCCAAAAATGATACATGCTTACAAATAACAATCATATTTAGCAAATTGTAACTTTTTTTGTAGTCACTTTACTTGACATGCTTCATATAAAATTGGTTGCACTTATGTAACAGTGGTAGCAACAATGGTCTACATGGTTATATTTTAATCAGATAAGAACACAGAGTTTTAAGAAAAACCTTCCTCTACTGGTAGGCACATGTCCGCTCTGGGATTGCTTGTGTCTTTTTCAGAAGCTTCTGGCCATCCTCAGAGACAAGCCGCTAGACTAGATGAACCCTGAGTCTGACCCAGTTCCTATGTTCTGGCTTCGTTTCTTGCACCATGGCATAAGGTCTCAGTGAGAAAGTGCTACAGAGCCAGGGACTTCTCCATCACAGAGCCTCTGAGGGGCAGTCTAAAGAGAGTTGGGCCACTGCTTTGTGTAATGTTCCCATCGAAGACCTAGGGCCGTGAGAAATTTCACTACTACCTGCCCTTAGCATGAATGAGTCTCGACTGTGCTTGCTGTCAGTTTCCTGAAACCCACAGCCTCTATCAACATGAGCTCGGCCTGCTATGTCCCTGCAGACTGGGCTGAGTAGGTATACATAGCGACAGTATACCTCGCCCACCCTGAATTCTTGAATGTTCCCATCGAAGACCTAGGGCCGTGAGAAATTTCACTACTACCTGCCCTTAGCATGAATGAGTCTCGACTGTGCTTGCTGTCAGTTTCCTGAAACCCACAGCCTCTATCAACATGAGCTCGGCCTGCTATGTCCCTGCAGACTGGGCTGAGTAGGTATACATAGCGACAGTATACCTCGCCCACCCTGAATTCTTGGAGCACTCCAGACGTTCCAGTCCCTTCCCTGCTGTTCACAGGCACTGATTCTGTGGGTACTCGGGGGGCTGGAGCACTCACAGAAAAAAAAAGTGGGTGTTCAGTGCCCACCAGAAGACCCTGCCAATCAGCTTCTCTGCCTCCCACCAGGTGTCTCACACCTGCTGTAGATCAGCTGATCAGTGGCAGACAGGAAGTGCTGGGAGGAGGGGGGCACAGCAGGGACGGGAAGAGATGGGGGAGGTGGAATGGGAAGAGATGGAGCAAGGGCAGGGTCTTAGGAAGAGGTGGGGTGGGGATGGGCAGGCCCCCTGATGGGGGGGAAGAGGATAGTGGCAGCATCTGCTGCTTTGGGCTCTCTAAATCACTCCTGGAGGCCTATTCCATGTGCTCTGTGCCACACTAAGGAAGGGGGGGTACCACGCTCTGGGTGACACTGAGGTCTGGCTGCCCTGGACCCACCTTTTCCATCTGAGGCCCCACCCCTTCTGGGAGCAGAGAGCTGAGCTCCCCCCACCTTGCCCTGGGGCCCGAGCAGGCTGTCGACTCTCCTGGGGCTGGGGCTTGGAGTGGAGTAGGGGTCAAGTGCCGCTGGGAAATGAGAACATTGGCACCTGTGTCTGCTCTGCCCAAAGGCACATGCCAGCTTGTGAGAGTCAGCTCGGGAGCAGCATGTTGCTTAACACCATAGCACTTAGATACGTTTCTACTGAAAACAAGAATATGTTTGTCAGCAGAGATTCAAGTCGTAGAGGGCAAGGAGAGTGGGAACCAAACACCATCGTAGCCTGCCTTCTAAAGATGAAACTTTTCTAAGAGGTCCTGCCTAAACCAGTTTGATCTCACCTGACGTTCTCTTCCGTTTTTTCAACCATGGCTGGTGGAGACCTCTAGTTCATTGAGTAATAAGCTCTGTCTTCTTCAGTGAAGGCTGCCAGGATGACTTCTTTGTCTTGTAGAAGTACCTGCAAAGTTCGCTGTCTTTACTCAGAGACAGGACAACTCCTCGGTGGCTTGTGTTTTTCTTCTGTGCTCCTTTCCTGTTGATTTCACATCCTCTGGCTTTGTGTGTAAATGGCTAATCATTGTGTTAGCTTAAGTTGTGTGCAATTTACATCCTGACACCCACTTAGGTGAATGAACAACTCTGACAGAAAAGTTTGTTTTTCACCTCTGATGGTGACTAATGCTTTCATACAGACTTAAGAATCTATGTTGAGTTGAGGTATACATAACTCCTTCTATAATATCCGTACATGCTTTTCACCCAGATGTTAATAACTAGTGTGACACCCGCTTTCCTGTAAGACTTCACGTGACATTTTTGGGTGAACCACGATGGACATGCCAGCCTACATGTCAGCTCTGTGGGTGCTCCATCCACCAGCTATCAGCTGATCAGCCCCCCACCAATCAGCTGTTTGACTGTGGGCAGGGAGGAGGGGGAGGAGCATGGATGCAAAGAAGTGGAGAGACAGCGGGCAGGGCCTCAGGACTGAGTGGAGGGGGAACACCCACCCAGAATCTTGCTTGCTTGCTACCCCCTAACACCAGAATCAGGACATCCCTGTGGGCATCAAGAGGTTCTGGGGTCACAGTTTATTGTATGCAGTTTTTCAGGCATGTGCTTTCCTAACATTGATCGTGTCTCTAGCTGGCACAGATTCATGGGAATATTTTCACCCTGTGGCTGGGACAGAGCCCCGTGATTGTACTGCATGGATTCCAAGCAGTGAAGGACGGTCTGACCAACAACCCAGAAGATGTTTCCGGTCGGCCAACAACACCTTTCTTCAACGAAAAGGCCAGTGACAAGGGTAATGTTTTCTATCTACAGACACTGTGCAGAAAACCAGGGTGCCCATTGTAAGTGGAGGTTCCATTATTCCATAGTTACCTCCCCATGGAGCTGTGTCTCCAAACTTCAACAATACCTACCTGAATCGCTGGTCTGGGGACGAGTAATGGGGCAAGCAGTCACTGAAGGGGCCAAATCCTGAATGTGAAGGAACGTGTTTGAACCTTTCACGGTCTCTCGGGGCTAGATCTTCAAAATCAGTGGGAGTTAGGCATCTAAATAATGCACAGGCCTTTAGTTAGTCATTGTCCTGTGAGCAGCACTGTTGTTGGCAGGCTTTCATCTTGGAGCATGAGCATCATTCAGTGTCCCACTAGACCAGTGGTGGGCAACCTGCAGCCCATTGGGGTTCTACGTGCGGCCTGCGAGACATTTTGTTTACTCTTGCCCCCGTGCAGGGTTGCCAGATTCCACTGGTTTCTGTCCACGTTTTTTTCCTAATGGTATTACCCACACGTGAAGGGAGGTGCATGCTGACTGCACACAACACTGACTGAGAGAGCCATGAGCTCCCTCATATCCAATCACAGCGCTGCTACAGTTCAGTCGGCACACCCTGCACATTCTAGGCACGCAAGCGCAGTGAGCAAAACGACTCTCTCCCGGGAGACGGTCTTGGTGACGACAACCTTGCGGCCCACTGAGATGGAGGGCCACTCACGCAGCCCACTCACTAGCCTAGGTGGCCAATTGCTGCACTAGACGGGACTTTGCTACAACACTCATTTTGGGATATTCATAGTGTGAAGGTTTTTGGAACGTGGACAGGATCTTCCTACTTGATGGGCTACAAATCAGAGCCCTGCGCTGTCATTCAAACAAAACCATCAGTTATTTTTTTTATCCACGTTCTGCACTGAAACCGTCTCACCCCACATCTGGGAAGTAACCCCCCTCCCCGATCTCTCTGTGTATGTCCCCAGCTGCAAAGTGAACCTCACATTTTCAGGGCACCCATGAATTATGAACACTGTATCCTGTGTGTTTGAAGCGCTGCTTTCTGTTCAAAAAGCCACAAACCCCTCCAAATAGGAGAGGAGCGGTCACAATCTGTTCCGTGCCCAAAGCCTCAGATAAAGAAATTAACCAAGTGCTCATTCATTTAGATTTTGGTCTCATGTTAGAACATATATTATCTAATTTGAACTTGAACGAGGGGAATGATTTTGCTATATGCACATCACTGATTCTCAATGGCCTCAGGTATTATTCTGACGAGCGGTCACACCTGGAAGCAACAGAGACGTTTTGGGCTGATGACCCTGCGGAACTTGGGGATGGGCAAGAAAGGCCTGGAGCAGCTAATCCAAGAGGAGGCCCGTTACCTGGTGGAGTACTTAACGAGTGAGAGAGGTACATCATTGCCAGCATGTTTGGGGCTTTTCACTTCCCAGCAGCGGCGGATTTAGGGCAGGGCGAGCGGGGCGGCTGCCCCGGGCCCCGCGCTTCCCGAGGCCCCGCGCATGCGCCTTGGCACCACGGCGCATGCGCTGTGTCAAAGGGGGGGGGCACGAAATTTTGCTGCCTAGGGCCCCGCGGCGCTGCCCTGGGCCCCACGGCACCTCATCCGCCCCTGCTTCCCAGAACCCTATTTTCCTGTCAGACCCACAGGAAGAGTGAAGTCTGGAGGGGAGGCCTTCTCACAGAGGTCACTTGGCTTCTAAACCTCAGAGGGTTTAATATCAGACAAGGCATTTGGGTTAATATTCCCCATCTCAACTGTCAGAAGCCGGTCACTACGGTAGCTAGTAGCCAAACCACCGAGGGCTTTCTAGGTCAAAACCAACACCTTGACTCACATCCGGACATGAACTGGAAACCAGTGCTGGCTACAGAGCCAGGGGGTAGTGAATTTTCTGTAGGAACAACCGCCAAGAAAGTGGTCAGCTTGCACTGTGCGCTAGCTGACATTTCAGCATCATCTTCAGAGGCAGCCCCCATGGAGGATATTTCACTAATCCGTTCCCGAGGCAACAAAGGCTTGATGTCCACTTCACACAAGCCACAGAAGGGTTAAGGTGCCAGGTAGGTCAATTAACGGCCTAGGTTACACCTGGAGGAGGAGCCAAGGAGCATGTTACAAACCAACAGATTTATTGGAGCATAAGCTTTCATGGGCAAAGACCGGCATACATCTGAGGAAGTGGGTCTTTGCCCATGAAAGCTTATGCTCCAATCAATCTGTTAGTCTATAACGTGCCACAGGACTCCTCGCCAATTTTGCATGGCGCCATTTTGATACCCCTCCGGTAGGGGGAACTATGTAGTGAACTGGCGGGAGGGCCAAGTCATGGAGAAGAGGCTGCAGTTCCTTCAACAAGAGGGAGCAAGGCAAGAGGACGATGGGAAAGACACCTCCAGATTTGGATAACCGGTGTCTGTTACCCACAGGTCTAGGCACCGCTGCTCGGAGAGCTGCACTGGGAAAAGGGGGTCTGCTGCCTCTGGGTAGAATTGAAGGTGTTTGCTTTGACCTACAAAGCTTGGACGGCCTCTCTGTTCCACCCTGTTCCACGCTGCCACCGTTACAGTCAGCAGTGTCCTGGTGAGCTGGACAGCCCTTGACTTACTGCAAGGGGCGCTGTTAGATCGTTTCCGTGGAGGGCCCTCAGCTCTGGAAAAGGTTCCCCCCCGGGTCCGAAATAGCCTGGTACTGTTGACCTTCATCCCTTTCACCTGAGTGTTTGGAGGAGCCTCATGGAGGTTTTTGGCAGTAGGGGATGCAAGTTTGGCACAGTACAGACCTTTGACTCTGTCAAGCTGGGGCCTGAGTTTTCCACGGACATTGCCATTGGTTTTAGTTGTGTTGTTCCTTCTGATGTGATGACAGAGGCCCCCGGAGTAATAGATTAACAAACAGAAGGTGGGCAGTTTTGTGTGCCTAAAAAGTAAGAACTATGGCAAGGCCCCCATGTGAGAGGAAAATCACAATCTCTTTCCCACACCTAGGTGACAATACTCTCTTGGCTGTTGCTTTTCTAGCATCCAAAACAGCAGGGAAGCCAGAAACACCCTTAGCCCTCCTACAGAAGGGCGATGGAACCTCTTCTATCAGAGATGATAGCAACTCCACCATCCCCTCTGTTTCTCCCAATCCCCCTGCTTGTCTACATAGCTAATTTCTGTTACATCATCTCCACTCCATGCTATGTTCCATCTTGTCTGGGTTAAGACCTCTAGCCTTCATCCAGGCCCCAATGTTGCAAAGCCCCAGCTCTCTCCGAGATCAAGCCTATGGGACCAATTTCCACCCTGCCGTTAACATGAGTGCAGTTGCTCAGGTGCCATGGACGATGACTTAGGACAGAAGTAACCCCACAGCCTTAGCCCAGTGCTATGTGAGATCACCAACAACTAAATCCTAGTACTGTATCCATACTATCACTGGGTCTAACTGGAGTGATGGGTCCTGGAAATGAATGTAAAATGGATGCCAGTGTCTGTAATGATTGGGGGAGTGAGCATAGCAACTAGCTTGGAAATAGCAAAGGGGGCTTTGGTGACACGTACGATGGACCCATAGTCAAGGTGTCCCACAGCCACAGTTCCCTCTAAGCTGTGCGGGCAGCCCAGCTTCACAGGTGATTAATCAGCCCCGCCCAGTCCGTCCATGAAGCCCTGAGTCTCTGACTTGGGCAGGGCTGATTAATCACCTGTGAAGCTGTGCTGCCTGCCTACCTTAAAGGATACTCTGCTCACAGCTTATTACAAAACAATGGAACATATTTACCACCTTGTTCTACTTCTTTTGGCCTGCTGGAGTGGTGTAGCCCTGGTCTGCACTGGCACTTTTTGTTGCCAAAAAATTACCTTTGGCAACAAAACAGTGAGAGCGTTTACACTGCCGTATGACTTTTGCCAGGAAAAATACTCAGTTTTGGTGACAAAAACTTCCACCCCTGGAACTTTAGTCTTTTCCCCTCCCTTTATTGTCAACACTGAGCCAATGTGGACTCTGCTGTTTGTTTTGTCGAGAGACCTGGCTTCCGCCAGGATCCCCCAATTCCAGCCCTGATGGCTCTGCTCAGTGTTTTGTGATCTCTGCTGCCCTGCAGGCAGGTGCCCCTCCCCTTTCAAAGCTCTGGGAAGTATTTGACAGCTAAGTGAGCTGCTCCCTTTGGGGAACAAAGAACAAATCATGGGAATGCTCCTGTTCTGCCCTGCTAGGAACACAGCAGGAGGCCAACAGCTGCTGCAGGGGGAGGGCTGGAGAGACGGCTGTGCTGCTTTGATATTCCTCAGCACAGAGAGCGCCCAGAGCTACAAGGGAAGTCCAAGAAGTGCAGGGATCAGCTCTGCCCTGTGGGATGCTTACCCACAATGCTTTGCTCTGTCTGTCGAAAGGGGAGCTAGCCATGTGGTCATGAAATGTCGACAATGGGAGGCAGAAAAACCAGTTTGACTGGTTTTCACGTTTGCCAACTTTTGCATGTCGACGGGACTTTCGTCACCAAACTTTCCTCTTGTAGACACAGCCTTAGAGAAAGAGCCAAGCAGAGAATCCAGGAGCTGTAACCAGCTCCCTGATGCTCCACATCCTCCTATCTGCTGCACCAAGCACATCTCAGCCACTGCAGAAAATCTGGTCTCGTGAGTTTAGTGGGAGTTCACAGGGGCTGGGGAGGAAATTGTAACAAGCCAAGCAGTCTCTCTCACGCCACCCAGGATTGGAGACCCTGTTGGCACATGAGGGGTGTTACCGGCCAGGAGCCGTGCTCACTTCACCGAGTTACCAGTGATGTACTGCCACTGTGTGGACAGCTGCAGAGATGGGCAGGGTCCCTTTAACGCACTGAACCATTGGCACTGAGTTGATTTGTGTCCAGTTCAAGTTTTCTTTGATTGGCTTTTTAAATGTTTATCGGTGAATGATGCTGGATCCTGCAATCACAGACTCAGATATGTTCACGACTGACAAGTCCTGTTCAGTCCCAGGCTCCAGGACTTGAGTCTTATCCCAGCAGGAGAAACCCGGTAGCAGGCGACATTAATGCTGATAACTGTGTTTGCAGGACAGCCCTTGGACCCTAGTGTCTCCTTCAGCCAAGCCTTCTCCAACGTCATTTGTGCTGTGGTTTTGGGACATCGCTTCTCCACTGATGATGAGACCTTGCAGCAGTTGCTTGAAGCCAATGACTGTTTGCTCAAATCCGGGGGCTCCCTCAGCGAGAGAGTGAGTTCACCATCTGTCCCTCTTATTTCTTTTGGCCCCACCCCCAAATCTGTGCCAGTCCCCTCCCTAAATAGAAGATGGTTGCCCAGAGTTGCCAGCTGAATTAGGACTATGGCTATGATTCTGACACAGGTAAAAAGCATGGACAGGGCAAACTTTATATTGTGGGAATGTACATAGGGCTAGCAAGCAGGGCAATTATCCCATGCCACAGGGGGCTCCAAGAAGCCATGTTATGGGCCACAGGGCCCATAACTTAGATTTGCAAAGCTCCTGGGTAATTGTGCTCCTTGTTGCCCCTTAACAGCAGCCCTGGCACCCATGGGGCAAAAACACAGACCTCTCTTAAAACCACTGAGACTGTGAGCTCCGTGACCGACTCACACCCAGAGAGGTGGCTTAATGAGGGTAAACTAAAACACGGGGATCACCTCACCCCCCTGGTGACTGACCCAGAGCAAACGCAGGGTCTGATACCCATTACACTGTCATTTGCTATGCTGACATTTAATAACGTCCGGCTGTCGGAGCCCCGAAACCCCCCAATACCTTCATCTTAAAATGAGAGAAATTCAGGTCTGAAAAGACCTGTCAGGGCCCCCGGGCCACCATCTTACTCAGTCTGAAAATACTTCCCAGGGCGCCTGAGTTACACAAAATCCCTTTGGTGTAAAGCCCACCCAGCCAGCCTGCTTAGGTCAAAGTCCCCCCAGCGGCTTGTCCAGTCTCACACCATCTGCTCTTTGGAGACACCTGGATCACCAAACCCTTCTCGATGTCATTGGCGCCTTGTTTTTGCTGTTGTTGTGGTTGAACACAGCACGTTCGGGGCTACCTGAGGACACAGGCCCTGCTCCAAATTGCCATTTAATTTGCAGCATGATGCAGTGGGTGAGTGGGAGCAATGGGATGCAGGGAGACAGGCTAAGGGGGACAAGTCTCTGTGGAAGAGACAGGCCCCTGGAGGGTCACAAGCTCATAGAGGGTCACAGCTGGAGTCCTTGGCAGGGTGGCAAGCTGGGGAGGGGAGAAACATAAGAGCAGGAAGGGGCAGGGTTATATTTCTCCTGTTGACTTCCCTCACTCCTTGCGATCTGGTGGAGTACCGGGGTCGATGAAGAGGCGATCGATTTAGCAGGTCCTTTCTAAACCTGCTAAATTGAACATCAGAAGCTCGATCTCTTAAGCATTGATCTTGGGATCAGGATAGACAAGCCTTCAGGAGGCCTTTATTCTCCACCTATTCCATGATTCTAAGCCCAGAAGAAAAAGACGTAACAAGGGGAACCTGGCACATCTCCCTCCCTCCCTCTGTCTATCCAAACGACTGTCCTTTCTGGACACTGGAAACTCTTTCTAAAGAGTTTTAACCATCGGTATCTATAATTAATGTTAATTGGCATTTATAGGCGGAATCCCCATACGCGATACTGAAAATGTGTCCTTCAAAGCAATTGATCTCGTAGCAAAATTCCCCACACTGGGCACTTGGGTCTTTGGAGAGCTCCATCAGGAACTTGGTAATGGCAAAGAATGAAACCAGCTTCTTTGTGTCTTTCCTTCAGCTGTACAATACTTTCCCTTGGCTCATGGACCACCTTCCAGGGCCTCACAAGAAGATGGTGTCATCCCACGAGTTTATGTATCGTTTTGCAAAGGAAGAGATCAGGTGCCACAGAGAGAGAGGGGTACCAGATGAGCCGCAGGACTTCATTGACTTCTACCTGGCCCAGATGGTCAAAGTACGTTTCTGCGCCGGATGCGGCTCTAACTCCTCTGCGAGGCCGTTGCACCCCTCCAGCACATACTGCTGCAGAGTAAAACAGAAAACCAGCAGCTTGTGGTGGGATCTGTGTGGCCCCTCAGGTGTGCAGATGGGTGGGAGAGTGGCAGAGTCAGAAATCTAGAAGGCTCCCGCTTAGGCAGGCAGAGGATTAAAGACAGGTCAGTGTCAATTGCAGCTCATTAGTCTCCAGAAAACCCAGCTATACAGAGGCAGGATCCTTTGTCCAAAGGGCACAGCCCAAGCAGCATCTGAAAGGTGTTGCGACGGACCCCAGAGCAGAACTAGAATTGAAGGAGGTGATGGGAAGTGACAAAAACAAGAACCCGACGAGCATCGGACAAAACATTTGTTCTGTTCTTTGAGATTCTCTGAAATCAAACGTACCAGAGAGAGCTTGTAGGCTAGCAGGGGGTCACAAGAATGAGCGAGTTCCGCCTCTTGGACTCTCCGCCCCCATAGCCCTGATTTATCCCTCTGACTCTCACCCGCAGTGCAGAGATGACCCCACCTCGACGTTTGACGAAGACAGCCTGATTCACACCATCTTGGACCTCTTCATAGCTGGTACAGAGAGCACCGCCACGACCCTGCGCTGGGCACTGATCAGCCTGGTCCTCCATCCCGATGTCCAAGGTGAGCGAAAGGCCAAAGAGGGGACACACCTGGATGCCTGGCACGTGGGAAGTGACCCGGTTCTGCCCCTTTTTATTAGACAAATGTGAGTTCTAAGACTGACCATTGACGGCTGCTGAATCAGTTGAGCTGCAGCCAGAAATGCAGTCAGATCACTGGTCCTACAGCGAACTGTAGACATTAGAAATAGAGAGGCTCTCTGGAGATGCTAGGCCACCCGTTTCCCTCACCATCCCCACTGCAGGATTGGTCCTTGCAGTAAAGCTCAGAGACCTTACGGTGGGAAATCCAGGCCTAGCCGAGCTCTGCTCTTCCTCTCCCTGTCCTGCGTTCATCCTGCCCCGATCTGCCCCTTCCCTCTCCACGTGGGGGGTGGTGTCTGGCCCCACCCCCAGCCTCAGCCCCTGGCCACGGCTCCATTACCAGCTGTGGCCCTGGCTCCTAACCTCATTGTTAGCTCTACCTTGATACAGACTGTAGGACCATATTTTCAGTGCACACATATACTTCCTCAGGCTTGGCCTACAGTGCAGAATCAGGGTGACCGCAACAGCCTTGCTCTCACCAATGTAAGTGCCGTGCTACGCCTACACAACAACTCCTCCACGAGAGGCAAAGCGCTTCCGCTGGTGTAGTTAGGGTGACACAGTGTCTGTGGGGACCAGCTGTTCTCAGCCGGCAGGCCACATGCAGCCCAATGAACACACAGTTGTGGCTCCGCTGGCTGCTAAAAAAACTAAATTTGCTGTTCTGGGCTGGCTGAGGGGGAGACAGCGTTTGGCAGCCTGCAGGAACAGGGCTAATGAGTGCTGCTGGGGAGCAGGGTGGGTCCCTGGGCAGGTTTGGGGAGGCTCTGGGCAGTGAGGGAATTAGGGGTTTGCTGCACCCCCAGGTTGTAGGTGGGGCTCCACTTCTGGCCCTGTGTCTGGGGTCCCATCTTCACGGTGCCAGCAGGGTCTAGGACCCAGCTGCCCAGCCCCAGGTAGTGGGATCCAGATTCCAGCTGTCAGCTGCCTGGCTCCAGGCGGTGGGTCAATGGATCTGGCTGCCCAGCCCTGTGTGGCAGGGTTTGGCCCCACACAGTGGGATTCGGAGTGGGGGGTGGCCCTATGCTGAGAAAGGTCTAGGTTGTGAGGTCCTGCTGTCTGGCCCTGTATTGCGGGGCTGGGACCCAGCTACGAGCCCCGTGCCCCGGGCTCTGCTCAGTGGAGGGATTTCTAGGTGCGGGGCACTGTGAGTCTCAACCTATGACCAACAATGATAAATGGGTTAAGAACCACTGAGAGCAATGTTCCCTCTAATCTTTTCCATCCATGTGCGGAATAAAATTGTATGTGCACCAAAGCGTGTGCACCACCCGTAGAAACAAAACCTAGCGGTGGGCACTCTGCTAATCAGCTGGGTGGCATCTGAATCTCTTCTGAGCAGCTGCACAAGCACCCAGCATACAGGGAACACTGGTATAGACCCTGTGTTCCTTACATCAGCTCTTGACTGTCATTCTTGCCCATTTCAATTACTGTGGGGGTTGTACGTTGACCTGACATAAGCTGACTTATATTTCCCATATAGATATACCATAGGAATGGCCACACTGGGTCAGACCACAGATCCATCTAGCCCACGATCCCGTCTGCCAACAGTGACCAATGCCAGGTGCCCCAGAGGGCATGGACAGAACAGGGAATTGCAAGTGATCCATCCCCTGTCATCCATTCCCAGCTTCTGACAAACAGAGGTTAGGGACACCATTCCTATCCATCCTGGCTAACAGCCACTGGTGGACTTAGCCTCCATGAATTTATCTAGCTCTGTTTTGAATCGAATATGCCCTCGGCACGACACAGACACAGACACTTCACAGCACTAGCAATGACCAGCATGGTGCTGGTTTTCATTTAAGATGTCCCATGACGTCCTTTGGGGAACCCAGATGCCCAGAGCAGTATCAGAATAATCTTATTCCCCCTTTATCCATTGGCGTGGAGGGGTTCTTAGGGTCACACTCAGCGGCCCTTACAAAACAGCGACGGCTATTTGAGCATGGCAAGAGGGCAGCTGCTCCCAGCTCAGTCATAAACGTGAGCCTGCTGCCCTAGGGGGAACCCGATTTCGGCTCACCGACAGCGCTTTTCTCTTGGGTGGACTTTGCTAAGAAGAGCGGGGTACCAGACAAATACCAGGTGATTCCTGTTTGCCTTGGAAGGGTTTTGTGCTCAGGCTATTTGGTCACTTTCAGGTTAAGGAACCGTGACAAATATACTTGCCTGCTATAAACATATTCATCGGCCATTGTTCTGTGCCTGGCTAACTCCTGAACAGCGGAGACTTTTGGTGCCCCATTCCACCCCTCCATCTGCAGTTCCAGCTCCCTGAGCCAGCAGGGCTTATGGTACCAGACACGAGGATTTGCATCAGGCTGCTGATCAGCTGCTGGGCGCATTAGACAAGTAGGGGGGTTTAACAAGGGAATGAAGTGAGGAGAATCTTCCACAGCACTGCTGGCTTTTTGGGATGCTGCTGCTGCAGCTTGCCTTGGTGCCCTGGCACAGTCAACCTGTGGAACTCCTTGCCACAGGATGTGGTGAAGGCTAGGACTTTCACAGGGTTCAAAAAAGAGCTAGATAGATTCATAGAGGTTAGGTCCATTAATGGTTATTAGCCAGGATAGGTAGGAATGGTGTCCCTAGTCTCTGTTTCTTCGGAAGTGGGTGACAGGGGAGGGATCACATGAGGATTACCGGTTGTGTCCCCTCCCTCTGGGGCATCTGGCATTGGCCACTGTTGGCAGACAGGATACGGGTCTGGGTGAACCATTGGTCTGACCCAGTGTGGCCGTTCTCATGTTCTCAGTATCTGCAGAAGCGTTTACTGCTGTCAAAAGCTGGTTTGACATGCCAACAAGCCATAGTTCCCTCTCGCAGCAAAGCAAGGGGCAGCGGGGTTCTGAACTTGGCCCTGTCACCGAGTTTCAACCAGCAGCTGCGAGTCTGCAGGGAAAGCGCAGGTCCCGCTTAGAGGTGAAGTTGGAGGAATAACCAGCATGGCTGATGCCCTTGGAGTGGCCCATTGCAGTTAACAGCATTGAAAGAGTAAGTTCTCCTTCAGCCTAAGGGAATTCTGCAGGGAAATGACGGAGCCCCAGAATAGGCATCCCCATGTCTGGCATGCACTCGCTGCCCAAATACGTCCCCTTCCATTTGCATCAAGCAGAATGTCTCCCCTCAGAGAAAGTCCAGAAGGAGCTGGATGCTGTGCTGGGTGGCCCATTGCAGTTAACAGCATTGAAAGAGTAAGTTCTCCTTCAGCCTAAGGGAATTCTGCAGGGAAATGACGGAGCCCCAGAATAGGCATCCCCATGTCTGGCATGCACTCGCTGCCCAAATACGTCCCCTTCCATTTGCATCAAGCAGAATGTCTCCCCTCAGAGAAAGTCCAGAAGGAGCTGGATGCTGTGCTGGGTTCCTCCCAATTAGTCTGCTATGAGGATCGGACGAACCTGCCCTCCACCAACGC